TATATATATATAAATTACTGTCACTTTTTAATAATTTAATGTATCCTTGCTGATATGTATTCATTTTTGTAAAAGGAAAAAAAAAATAAAAGATTTACTAACCCTAAACTTTTGAACGCTAGTGTGCACTGCATAATCAGACCATCTACTGTAAGTTGAGTCTCTCCACTATAGATGATGTAATATTTGGTATTTCTCATAGGCTCATTAATAAACTTCAGCCTGGATCCATTAAGAAAATCAACCACTCCAAACTTAACTGGCACAAGGTAAGGAAGACCTGTTTATGTATTGCATTGTTTCGAATTTTTTTTCTTCTTTTCAAGTCAGTTTTATTCCTAATGTAAAAATATAATAGCAAAGCTTATTCTTTTCACTGAAGCTTGAGAACCTGGGCAACTTCATCAAAGCCATTCTTGCTTATGGCCTGAAGCCTAACGACATCTTTGAGGCCAATGATCTGTTTGAGAATGGGAACATGACTCAAGTCCAGACCACACTTCTTGCTCTGGCCAGCATGGTGAGTTTTGTGCAAAACATCTTGGAAGGAGATGATGAAAGAAGGAAGCTTGGATTAGGAGTTGCTGATATAATGCTACTTTCGTTCTTTCTTTCAAAGGCAAAAACCAAAGGTATGGACACAAACGTTGACATTGGTGTAAAGTACGCAGACAAGCACTCCCGCAACTTTGATGACGAGAAAATGAAGGCTGGTCAGTGTGTGATTGGACTGCAGGTGAGGACCTCTGACTTGTGACTTCATTTGGTTCTTATCTGTTGTCACTTTAGGAATCCTTTTAAAACCATTTTTCTTGGGATATCTTCTTGAGATTCTCTCAATCATGCTTTGTATATTCATACACATCCTTTTTTTCCCTCAATGCTAGATGGGGACAAATAAATGTGCTAGTCAGGCTGGGATGACTGCTTATGGCACCAGGAGACATCTGTATGACCCAAAGACTCAAGCAGACAAGCCCTTTGACCAAACCACAATCAGCCTGCAGATGGGCACTAATAAAGGAGCAAGCCAGGTGAGTTTGAATTTAAAGGAATAGTTCACCCAAAAATGTAAATTCTGTCATCATTAGGGGCTTTTGCACATGGTGGTTCTAGGAACTTAGTTATAGGAACTAGGCACCAGGGTGGTTCCCTGAGAACTAAAAGTTCCCCTTGGCCCATTTTCCTGGTTGCATTTGCACTGCCAGTAGGAACTCTGAAGTTACTTAAGACAGCTGGCAGTGATGTCATTAAAGCGCAGAAAAAAAAACCTGCTGTACACTGGAGAACAACATATGGATTATCATATGTTTACTGTAGAGAGAAATATTACTTTTCCTATGTTTACCCAGTGTAGGGTGGTGTGACGCAGTATGGAGTGCTATAAACACATGTAATGTCTGCCAGAGGGTGCTCTCTCGCAGAAACTCCAAATATGCCTCACAGAAGTAATATAGACAAAATATCCCTAATACGAATCCTTATCGCTGTGCTGATTGAAAGGAAGATCTAAACACTTTGGCGATCACTTTATATAATGAACAGATTTAATTTAGGCATTTATTCACATAAACAAACATAGATGAGGGTAAATGACACATTTTTCATTATTGGGTGAACTAACCCTTTAAGAGTAACTGTGCGGTCACAAATACCTTTGTATGTCGAAATTCCACCGAGGAAGTGCAGTTGTCTCGATAGGAATCCACACAATCTGTATTTTCACATGTGGAACACGTGAGGTGAAACATTTTCACATCGGATTCAAGTTTGTTGAACTTTTAACATGCAAATTTGCCACATTTACCACTAGAAAGCTGCTTGGTTTGGAAGTGATCTCTTTAGTAGACAGTACTCCCATTGCATTGCTAAACTATTGACAATGGACCTACTTTGACTATGAAATTTCACAGAAGGTCCGCTAATGGTTCGCCCAGGGCTTTTAGACAAGGCTGTCCAATCCTGCTCCTGGAGGGCCAACTTCCAGCAGAGTTCTGCTGCTTCCTGCCCCAAACAAATTTGCCTGGAAGTTTCTAGTGATCCCGAAGATCTTGGTTATCTGGTTCTGGTGTGTTTAATAGGGGTTGGAACTAAACTCTGCAGGACGTTTTATTAGTTGGATGCCCAAGTCAAACTTTAGTTTTCACTTTATTCTCCCTTAGGCTGGCATGTTGGCCCCGGGCACCAGAAGGGATATTTTTGACCAGAAAGTGGCTGTCCAGCCGCTGGACAACTCCACCATCTCGCTGCAGATGGGCACCAACAAGGTGGCCTCTCAGAAGGGCATGAGCGTGTACGGGCTGGGCAGACAGATATACGACCCCAAATACTGCTCCTCCCCCACCGAGCCCACCATCCACGGCAATGGCAGCCAGGGCACCGGCACCAACGGCTCTGAGATCAGCGACAGCGACTACCAGGCTGAATACCAAGGAGAATATCAGGATGAGTACCAGGCAGACTACCACGATGAATACAGAGCCCACTATGACCATGGCACTGACTATTAAACTGCAAGCTTACAGCACAGATGAATATTTTTGGATCCTCACATAAACGGAGCGAGTTGTTTTTTCTCTCGCTAGCCTTTTTTATATGACAAGAAACCGATGTTAAGAGGAGCGTTTCCTATATCACTGTTCCTCTGATAATACAGTATTTTATTAGCTGGATAGACAATAGACTATAGTCTTGACTTTTAAAAAGGGCCAAACTTTTAAAACATGAGATGGGTTAGAGAAGCAGTGTAAGTCAAAGTCATTCATGGCATATTAACTACAATCTCTGATTATTTTTTTTTTATTATTTTTTTTTAAGTATATTTTTTTACTTCCAGCCTTTTAAATCATTTGACCAAACAGTTTGCTAAATTGTGCCATGGGCCCTTGTATACGTTTAGACCAACTCGTATCTTTTTGATCACTCCCCCTCTTCCCAATTGTCTTGTATTTATTGCCAGTAATAATCAATAGAGACCTCAGTCCTGTTGAATGGCCCTTATTTTTTAATGAATAAAGTTTTTAATTTTCCAGTCAAGTCTGTTGTCATTCTGATTAAATCAATTAGTCTTTCAGGTTTATCAGTAGGTTTTGACACACACACACACACGCATGCATATATATATATATATAAAAAAAATTCTGGGTTTTCACTTTATTTTTAATCGGATGAATTTGGCATTCATCAATTCCACCAGATTTATATCTTTGCTAAACCATCCTGGAAATGATGAGCCCTTGCGTTTGGACAAAGAGGCATGAGCAAGTCTGAATGCTGCCTTGTGTCGGAATGAAGAGGGGAAACTGAGCTGTAGAGTGAGAAATCCTCTAGCACCGTCTGGCTGATCTCGGAGCAGTCATGAGGCTTGGAGGACAAGGACTGACCGGTATAAAGGGTTCGTGAGAAAAGCAGCAAACCCCCACCTCTTCCCAGCAAACACCCTGACGGGGAATAATCCCTGCTTTGTGTGCCTGTGGAATTTGGCTCTTATAATGCAGCACTCAATTAGACAGTCTGACAGAATAGCACAGGTTTGCCTTAGCAACGTTCCCTTTGTATCAAATGTGACTCCACATAAGCAGTTTGAAAGCTGCTACCTGCTTTGGGAAGAGCTTTAGTATTACAGAAAAAGTTAATGGCTTTCCAATTGTTTGCTGTTGGGAATTTCTACCAAAATGTACTACTGTTGTGCTCCCTGTCTTTAAAGGGATAGTTTTATCAAAATTGAAAATTCTTTGACTGACTTTCTTCTGTGGAATATGTTTTTCCAATGGCAACCAAAACTGGTCCCCAACATTCCTTAGAAGAAGAAAAAAACAGTTATACAACATGTGGGTAACTGATGACAGAATTTTCATTTATTAGTTAACTATCCCTTTAAGGGATATTAAAGAATGTGTCATTGCAGATCACTTGATAGTATCCTGCTGGTTTTAGTATATAAGATTTAATTCTTAACTTATTAGTAACGTTAGAATCTGGGTAGAGAAAGTAGACTGAGCAAAGGCCACTTTTTGTTTTTTTCTCACTTAATGAATTGGCTAAAAAGTAGATGCATCAACAACTCTTTTAATGCACTGAAAATATAGAATATAGTGCCCCAAATGAGAAAAATATTAGGTTTTTCCATTATCTTGCCAAAAGTATTGCTTACCTCTGAGATACTTTGTGTACTCTTGCAAAACCTTTGTGTTCCCCCGAGAAACTTGGCATTCTCTCGGAAAACTATTGCATTTACCCGATAAAGTTTGTTTTTCTACCACCTCATATGAACATCAAAAAATATTTGTGAGTGAATGCAAAGTTTATCGGAAGACAAGTTTTGATGGTGAAAAATGTTACAGGGTAGGATTTACCATCTCATTTGAATTGTGAGTCATGAGAGTGCATTGCATGTTATCCTGTTTCATTTAAATGACTCAATTCTAATAAATTCACTTGAAGTGAACTTTCAACAAATAAGCTGTGCTGAGATTTCAAATGTACATTAAGAACGAAATTCAGACATAATGTAAAACGACCCTGCAGGCATATGCTGAAGACTTCAACAGAAGGATTTTTTTTTTTTTTTATTGTATGGGAAAAGCATTAAGCAGAGGACAACAGTCATTTCTTTAGCTTTCATCAGGGAATTTTGCATTAATGCTGTTTTTCTGCTGTGAAACATGCAGCAGATAAATGATATAATGGAAAAACTTAGAGGTATGAGCTCATGTATGCCCGAAAATGTCAGTCTCAAACAAAAGCACTATCAGTTTGCGCCACAAACCACTAGATTAGTCTCTGAAAAGACTGAAGTAACTTGAAACTTGAAATATTTTAATGCCTGTGGCATGAGCTGCTCCTCTTCAGTTACAAAAGCTGGACTACATCTGCCAACTGTTCTGTTCTGACGAGGAGTCGTCTCATTCAGGCTTTACAACACAGTATGTGAATACTTTTCATCACAGCAGGCTTGGCTTCAAGTACATGAGGTTGGATTGGGTTTTTTGATTAGTACTTTCCACTCGTGGCCCAAAGAGAGTTCCTCTCAGCATCCAGATGGACACCACAGCTGCCGAGGGACAGAGGCTGGAAATTGTTTGTCACTCCTCTTTCTCTGTGTCCCCTCAATGCTTACTGTGCTGGTTTGTACTCTCAGATATGACTGATAGTTGAAGGTTTTGCCTTATGAATCATTGGATAGGATTTCTGTGAGTGCAGGACAGCTTCCACTGTTTCTTTAAAGTATGTTTGCTTAAAACTATAATATTTTAGTTTATGACCTTTGACTATTCCAGTCAGATGTTAGCTGTGGGAATTGTACATTGGATGTGATGCCAAGAGCTTGTCCTTGTCTTTTACCCTTACTTACAACATGACAACCCAGTGTGATCTGCTTTTTCTAAATTCCAGTCTCTGTACTGCTAGTGTCACTAAACAGAAGTGCCAAAATGGTTGTTTTAAACCGGTTTCCTAAACATTCCCCTTGTCCTCCATTGGTCAAACAAAAAGATAGCTCCGTCCTAAACCCAACAAGATTAGTTGAGCCACTGTTGGGACTAAACGCTCAAATAAACAAAGCAATGTTTTGAAAGTGTTGCTTAGGGGAAATCAGCCAAAAAAGACTGGCTTACTAAAGTTACACACCTCAAGAAATGAAAAGATTTTGTGGCTTTTAGTCCATGTACATTATACTACCAATCAAACCCTTTGGGTAAGATTTGTATGTTTTTGCAGGAAATCTCTTATCACCAAGGCTGTATTTGTTTGATCAAAAATTCAGTTAAACAGTATAATATTGTGAAATACTATTCTAATTTAAAATATCTTTTTCTATTTTAACATTTTAAAATGTAATTTATACCTGTGATGGCAAAACAGAATTTTCAGTATCATTTTTCCAGTCTTCAATGCCACATGATCCTTCAGGAATCATTCTAATGCTGATGTGCTGCTCAATAAATATTTGGATTATTATCAATCAAAAAAATTTATATTTTGTAACATTATCAATGTCTTTACATGTCACTTCTGATCAGTTTAATGAATCCTTGCTGAATAAAGGTATTAATATCTTAAAAATCTGACCGACCAAACTCTTGAATGGTAGTGCGCTAGTGAAGCTAATTTTTAATGTACACTTTTTTTTGGACATTGTTCAAACAGATGCACATTTTTTTAGCAGGATTTTATTTATTCTAATTTAAAATATCTTTTTCTATTTTAACATTTAAATGTTAATAATAATTTATACCTGTGATGGCAAAACAGAATTTTCAGTATCATTTTTCCAGTCTTCAATGCCACATGATCCTTCAGGAATCATTCTAATGCTGATGTGCTGCTCAATAAATATTTGGATTATTATCAATCAAAAAAATTTATATTTTGTAACATTATCAATGTCTTTACATGTCACTTCTGATCAGTTTAATGAATCCTTGCTGAATAAAGGTATTAATATCTTAAAAATCTGACCGACCAAACTCTTGAATGGTAGTGCGCTAGTGAAGCTAATTTTTAATGTACACTTTTTTTTGGACATTGTTCAAACAGATGCACATTTTTTTAGCAGGATTTTATTTGACCACTCATATATTTTAGCAGGCTGTTTTTATATGCATTTAAATTCTTTGCTTTTAGTAAACATGTAGATGCGACAACCTCATGATTTCATTTATTTGCTTTAATTGTGGTGATGGGAATCTGCAGAGACACCTGCTGACTAGTGGCAAAATTGCACCCTCTTGAGTGTCCTGCGCTCAGACTCTATGGGCTTACATTTCTGCCACAATTCTGCGCGCGAAAGATCATATTTTGAGCGCACAAAAGTGCATTTTGCACACGCGCGATCTGAGTTTGTGGAGAAAATGTTCGTTTCGTAAAGAAAAAAGTATTTCGAGCGCACGGAAATCAATTTTGCATTTAAAATACGTTTTTGGATGTGTGCAGACCTTCTCTTTTGCGCGTGCAACAATATTTCTTATGGGCATTTAATAATTTTTGCTTTCAGTCTGAGTTAAATCTCGTTTTTGGCTCATTTTATCTGTAAAAGAAAATCTGCTTAATAATTATGCACACCTGAATATAAGACATTTTTCACTTCAGCCTTCAGCCTTCATGAATAATTATATATCAATTATAAATTATTAAATACAAGATTAATAGTAGTTATTAAGATTGATGTCGTTTGGAATTGGTAAAATGTGCTTGGAACAAAATATGATCAGAATATCAACTTGCATAATAATTATGCATGCACTGTATTTTTCCTCTTCTGCTGTCGAGGTAATGCAAGGAATGTTGTGATTGGTTGTCAAGGCAGCCAATCAGAATTTAGCAGCCTCGTCTCTGATTGGCTGGAATTATGGCACATTGTAACGCTGGGTTGTGTTGAGCACGCAAGCTGTTGGCATTTAGCGAGCACAGAGGGGGGGCATCAGGTGAGCAAGCTAGTGAAACGTTGCACGGGCAAAAGAGAAGGTCTGCACACATCCAAAAACGTATTTTAAATGCAAAATTGATTTCCGTGCGCTCGAAAGACTTTTTTCTTTGCGAAACGAACATTTTATCCACAAACTCAGATCGCGCGTGTGCAAAATGCACTTTTGTGCGCTCAAAATATGATCTTTCGCGCGCAGAATTGTGGCAGAAATGTAAGCCCATACGACTCATGTTACTGATCAATCTTGAGAGCAAAAAACTTTAATCCGTGAATATTTCAAAATGATCCATTTAAGTTTTTTTTTTTTTAATTGTCATATCTTTCACAACATACCAATTTACATGAGCATGTACATAATAACCAGAAGGTGGCGCTCACATAGCAAGGCTCAAAGAGAGTCTATGAAAGAATTAAGCTTAACACAAAGAGACATGTTTAGCATGTTTTGCTAAGAGGATGATTTCCAGCTGGTCAGGGAAGGTAGCCACTATTAACACTGAACTTATCAGTAAATGTAACACGAAACTGCTGATAACTGAGAATGATCAGTCATGAACATTCCAGCCAAAATGGAATTTCAACACTTCAGAAGGAGAAAACAGCAA